GAAGCATGGAAACATGGTTGGGGAAATTAACAGAAAGCTTATCCATCATCTCCCCTCCCCCCGGTAAACCACCATAAATGTACACAGCTCTTTGCTTGTTTTTCTTAACAAGAAAAATGAGGTGGGGCAGGGTGGAATCAGCAGGCATGGAAATTATAGTAAATGACTTCTAGTAACATATCTCAGGGAATTGAAAAGGGGGCAGAAAGTGAGTAAAGCCACAAATATTGCAAAGGAATACAAATATTAACCATTGGACAGTGTCTGGGAAGCAGGTGCCAGTAGCTGCAAGCTATTTATACACTTCATTTGTGTTGGAGGGCACTGGGAGAGTAACCAAAAGCTAATGATTCATGCACAGTATTAATGTTCCCCAGTTCACTGTAAATAGCCACTGGCAATTTAAGAATATTAATGAAGATATGCATGTATCAGTGGTGGTAGCTACAAACACAAATCGACATGGAATATGCTGCAAGTGTATTGCTGATATAGGATCTTTTATTTTGCTTTAATTGACATACTTTGTAACTGTTATAATCTTAAATTATATTGAACTCCAACTTGTATCAGCCATAGACAGAATACCCAATAATCAAGACTTGTGGAAAGTTTAATTCCACATAATTGGAGGCTCCATTCCTGCTATGAAAGCATATTTCTATAGCATAGGTAGATAAAATAAACAATTGGATTAGTATTAGTATCGTGCCTTTCCAAACTAACAACACTATTCTGAATAGACACAAAGAGTGTGATTCACTTGTATTGCAATGATAGGACTATAAGTGCTTTGTAACATGTTTCTTAAAAGAAGAACTATATTATTGAGTAGGGCATTTTGGGGTAACAAAAGTCTACAAGTTTGAAAGAAGTAGATCACATGGAATCTAATGGAACTTATATTAACTTTCCCATTGATTCAATGGATTTAATCTAGCTAGGATTTGCAGTTCAATTTAGGTCTGTGACAGCACCACACACTAGCTTGCCCCAAAATAAGCCATTACTTTCATTTCATGGGAACATATTTAACTATGGTTTCATAAACATTATCATCAGTATGGGGTTTATCCTCAGAAAATTTTCCATAACAATAAATGTTGTGGAAATTGGTTACTCAATTTGTTGAAAACTTTGATTCTTTGAATAATGTATCATAGTGATTGTCATTTGAAGAGGCTACTGGATAGTGTGATGAAAAGGTGCTTTTAGCAATATGATACTACATTACTGGAGTTCTAACATAATTGAATCCCTACTTTACAGTATATTTAAAGCCAATTCAGAAAGCATTGGGTATGCAGTGACTTTAACCTTTGTGTAGAGAGGCTCTGTCTGATCATACTATTCATAGACTTGGTGCTTATCTTGCAGCATTCCATTGGGATAGCTGCAGCTTGGTGCTAACAGATAAGAACTTGTCATGAGTCGGAAGTCAGAGAAAAATATTTGTACTCCAGTGTACAAATGTGTGTGTGTCTGGGTAGTGTCTGTATGCCTGTCTCAATTCATGTCTAAATAGAGGTACAGCTTTATTTCATTTTCAGGTTTTGTTAGATACTTGAGAGGATAATTGATAAAAGCAGTGAATATCCTCTTCTACTATGTAGTATTTTAAACATCAGAAATAATAATAAAATATATTATTCATAAAGTATCTTGACTCTATGCAAGATTAGGCCTAGCCTATAAACCAACACTTTAAAACGAGCATGAATTAAGGATGAGTGGGTAATAGACAGGAGAAAACAAAACAAAAAGAGGTTACAAAAATCTGGGGAAACTACTAGATCTGTTATGAAAGCAGCACGATGAAGAAAGTTTCAAATGCTAGGAAATTATTAAGAGATGGTAACGAATTTCAAATATGGCAAAAAAAGGCTTCAAGCAATAAAAGTAAGTGGTTTAGGTTTAGAAGTTTTGAAGTCGCTGATTAATATTGAAAAGAATTAAAAAGAGATAGCAGAGTATAGACACTAAAAGAATTAAAAAGAGCAGAGTACAGACATGAAGATGGAAAGGACTAGGGCATTTTAAATGAATTTCATAAGATCGCTGACCAACTTGTTTCTACCTCATGGCAGCTAGTTAAATTTTAAGTGAACACCTGTGATAGTCATTTCTAATGTATTTTCATTGTCTTACGGGGTATATGTTTTAATGTTAATTCATGTTATTGATGTTATTATGTCTTACTGGATTATTTTATTTTCATTTTGATGCTTAATTCTTTTGTCATAAGTTTACTGTTATTATTGGGTATTACACTGAATTTTTTTGATGTGGTTGTATTTATTTAGGGCATTGAATGTTTGCCTTTTTCTGTGTGTAAACCGCCTATCCCTTTGAGGAGAGAGGGGGTCTGTCTAGAAATAAAGTTTATTATTTCATTATTATGTGAGGGGAAGCAAGTAAAGCTGAATATTGTAAGGGACAAGTGGCAGTTAATGCATAGAATGAAGAAATGTGGATAAATCAGCCAAAATGGAGCAAAAGAGAAGTAGCAGTATTTACAAAAGGTATAAAGAGACAGATATAAAAGTGAGCATATGATTACAGCAATCATTTAGAAAATATAGGAAGTTATAGTATTGGTTGTGTTAAGAGAAAAAAAATAGATGAAATGAAATTAATCCTGCAAAATGTTTCAAATTCCTAAATTAAACTGAACTTTAAGAACCAAAGATGATTCACAAGTGTCATGCAGATGGGCAGGAGGAGCAGAATAATGGTGTTGTCAAAAAAGGAGACTGAAGTAGTAGTAGATTGATTCTCTATTCACCGGCACCCATGGGGATGGGTAGATGCTGGATAAATGTAGTTTCTGGTCGCTCAAGAGTTACTATTAAAAATAGGCCTAACTGATACTATCCCCATACTATACCATAGCATAAAGCCTGTATTAACTTGATATTAATATTGAATACAGTAATTAAAAGCAAAGTAAGACAAAGAAATGTAACTTAATGTAACAGTTTTCCTGTATTGCTTCCAGTTAACTGAGCTACTGTACTACAGTCAGCTCTCCACATCTGCGGTTTTGGTTTCTGTGTATTTGATTTTTGCGGATTTGGTTAATAGGGTTTCCCACACTCTATGTCCTCCAGTGCAGTTCTGTGGTCAACTGTCAGAAGTAATTGACAACAGCTGCACTGAAGGACCGAGAGATGCCTAGAGAGGTGTTTTCTCAGGTTAAAAAGGGTTTTTTTCCTCCTTCATGGTTTCCCCACTTTTACAGGGATTCTGTACCCCTAATGTGGAGTGCTGACTTTATACGATTTCCTTTCTTTCTTTAAACTGAAATATATACTGTCACATTTAAAATCACTTTAGAAAACTAGATTGAGAATTGTTTGAAGAGGAAAATAAAGAAGATGAATGTGCAACCTAAACTTTGTCCTCCTGGCATTATAACACAGATGCATTAATTTTCTGAAAGAATTGGAGGTTAGGGAAGTATTTTTTGTTGAGTGCCTTCCAGTTTTCTAATATTCCTACAATCTAAATTTATACTGAAGATCTAACATTGTTTCAATTTTTCTGCCTGTGTAATTGCTGTGGTTATACCAGAAAATTAACAGGAACAATAGGAATGCAGTATTTAGATAGTATATCCACATATGTCATACTGTGACATATTAATGGGCCTTAGTCATGCTTGATAACATGTGGGAAGGCATACTTTTTTGCATCATATGCCCATCATTTTAGCTTCAATCATGTTTGTTTTAAGTGAATTTAAAATGGACATGTTGAGTTTTATGAAATGTTCTTATTTAAAATAATACCAGATAATGATTTGATACTTTATGCAATGCGATTGTCCTCAGTTTTCAGCTGCTTACCACATTCAGACAGAAATGGCTGGGACAAAAGAGCCCAATAAATTTGCTGTTGCAGTAATTTTTTTGTTCCAACCAGTATAATGCTCAGTGAACCATGATGCAGCAAAGTAGAAGTGATGTGGTATGTTGTCCGTATGTTGACTCTGTTTGTTGAAAGTGTAGTCTTCTGGGGTGGAGGATTCAAGTTAACTGATATCAGGAAATGCCCTCAAATACAAGAAGTTACTTTAAATTTATTTTTCCTAATTTTATTTTATTGATAATGTGTTTTCTAGTGTTGAGCAAGTGGGAAAAACACATTCTATTGTGCACACACACACTCTTACTATACATTAGAATCCTGATCCCAGTGTTTCAAAACATCTAACAAATGCATTGGGGTTTATTTTTTAAAAAATCTTAGTTCACGAGGGTTATATATTGTCTGTGTTTGACTGAGATAGATTGGGCTTAATGAAGCACTAACAAAAGCAGGTGATGAATGGCAGCTTCATCAATTCAGTTGTTTTCAAATGCCCCTGATGGTTACAGAATATGATTTTAATCCCATTTCTGAGCATATAAGTAGGAAAGGTTATGCTCTGTCATTCTCAAATAATAAATTCTCTTTTCAATACCTTAAACAATTAATTGTTCTAAACTGTATTTGATGAGATTGGATTGTGCCTTAAAATATGACAGCATCTGTATCTGTTTTCACAAGACCTTCAAACAAATCAGCTATACAACTGAAGGAGTTTTAATTAGAGCTCTTTCTAAAACACGACCTGTACATATCCAATTGTGGTCTCTTAATTAAAGAAAGGTTTTGCTTTTTTGAGACAGTTGTTTTTCCAAAGGTGTTTTGGCTCCTTCCTATGAGAAATAGTTATTTACATGCTAGCTAGCAATTACATCCATTCAATTGTAATTGGAATGCATGCATGAATATTTATTCCGTGACTGTGTTTATATTTGTATATATTCAACCTATTTGAAGCTGTGGGCAGACTTTTGTTTAGGGTAATTTTTATTCCTTTCCTAAACTTATACCAGAGGAGGCCATTCAGCATCTGAATGTGTAATTGCAGATAAGATTTTTTCCATGTTGTCATATAGGAAAAGATTGTGTGCTAAGCTTGAATATAAAGACTATATATCAATTTTTTTCAGGGGAGTTGGTTGTATCTTTGTGGAAATGATTCAAGGTGTTGCTGCTTTTCCAGGAATGAAAGACATTCAAGATCAACTTGAAAGAATATTTTTGGTAAGTTCCCCACTATTTTGACTATTGCACATGAATATTGTCATATATTTGTCTCCAACTTCTAGCAATTGCATTGTGCAAATGTTTGGACAGTCACATGACAATTCCTTAAAATCAGTGAATTTAAATTGTAAGCCAAATGGAACAAAAATACCATCAATAACTCTCTGCGTAATAAATGGTGAATATCATTAAATTTAATGATTAGTAGTTATAAAATGGAATTATTCTGTTAAAAGAAGGGATTTCAAAGTACAAAACTAAATAGGCTCCTTAAAATAATGACTACTATTAATTCCTTCACAGTAAGACCTCACACAGTTGTAGATTTAGCTCAAATAGAAGCATTATTCCTCATTTAGAATCAAATGTTTTTCTTATTTTCATGTCAGTGTTATTTTTCCAAAACCTGAAGGTGAAGACAGTGCTTATTGTTGTAGAATATGGTTTTGTCAAAGTTTTCAAAGTTAATTTTATGCATATTTTGCCGCCTGCCTCTTGAAGATTTATATACCTGGAAAAATATGAAATAAGGTACTTATTTAACCTGTTTACTTTTGGCACTATTCAGATGAGACATGAATAGTATACTGTCGTCTTTTATATTATAATCATAGAGTTGGAAGAGACCCCAAGGGCCATTCAGTCCAATCCCCTGCCATGCTGGAACACACAATCAAAGCATAAAGTCCATTATATTATTCCAGTTCCTGCGATTAACTTGTTCTACTGAGACTCAAAATGTTGTGGAGCTTAGCTCTGTGCAACACAGTGTAAAATCACACATTTCTTTTTGAAGGTTGATTGGAAATTACCGAACAACTGGTTACATTTATATTTAGAATAACTGAGACAACTATGAATCATTACAATTCTTATGACTGTAAGGCTGAGTGTTAGGATGGTACACTCACAGAGTCTGATATTTCCAAATGTTTTTCTAAACTTTTTCTCTTAAATATACTAAATAAACCAAGACACATAAAACTAATAATATAGACAAAACCTAACAACACCACAAAACCCTCCAAAATACAAATAAGAAAAAACAGAAAATAAATACACACATAGAAAGTACCAAACAAAGGGTCTCTATTATTTTATTCACAGTTCTGAGTTATTTGACAGCTAATATGAGTGTCCTGATCACTCTGGAATACAGAACTAACTTTATAATATCTGCTACAATTACTCCTAAATGTACTCCTTCCTGAGGATGATCTTATAAGATTGTATAGGACAGCCACCTTGTGGATATTTGATTGACTGCATTCTTACTTGATCATCCATCCTAGCTGTTAATATTAGGTTAATCAGTGTTAAAGACTTGGATTAGTGATGGTTCTTGCTTATCAAAGGGTGTAGCTATACTCTACAATTAATGCAGTTCGACACTAATTTCACTGCCATGGCTCAGTGCTTTTTTTAATCGTGTCAGAAGCAACTTGAGAAATGTCGCTTCTGGTGTGAGAGAACTGGCCGTCTGCAGAGACGTTGCCCAGGGGACGCCTGGATGTATTACCATCCTGTGGGAAGCTTTTCTCATGTCCCCACATGGGAAGCTGGAGCTGACAGGTGGGAGCTCACCCCATCTTGCGGATTCAAACTGCCAGTGGACTTATTATGAAAGTTGTTGTTTTACATGGTCTTTAGCCTTCTCTGCCAAAGAGTGCTGGTGACTTGCACAATTAGAAATGCCTTAACAATGGCAGTTAAAGTGGTATCAAACTGCATTAATTCTTCAAACCTAATTAGAAACCAGAAATTCATTCTCAGAGCAGTTGATGTACTGCACTATTTATGTATTATGGCAAAAGGTTATTGTATGTGAAAGCTTGTATATTGATTTTTTTAAAAAGAAGTTTGTGCTATCATTGTGTTTCCCATAGAGGTCTACAGAAGTTTCCAATATATTCTTTAACCTGACATATTGTCTTATGATTTCATGGTGTAAGACTAGAGAGTGTTCAAATTTAAATCCTGTTCTGCCATCTTGTGGCCGCTCCACTATATTGTGTTATGGTTCTAAATACACTGATATAGCAGCAGGACTAAAACTACTCCAAATGCTCCACATCATGACTAATCTTGGAAGTAGCAGCCCTGCTTAGCATGAGAAACCACCAAGGAATACCAGATGTTGTAGACTACATCTCAGAGGAAGGAACTGACAAAACTATGAAATTCATGGGGTCACCATAAGTTGACAGTTGTCTTGAAGACACAGAGAGAAAGAGATAGAGAGGTGGAACAACTTGCCCAGGATAGCATAGTTTTGAAGATTATGTTCAGACACAAACCTATTCTACACTGGCCAGTAACTGTGATTTTCATCAGCAATATTTCAGCAATTATTAGCTAGTTATTTTTATATGCAGTCTGTTGTAAAGTGAAATAAAGAAGGTGGTTAAGTAGAAAAAAAATCTTTGGTCTTAGTCATCTGTTAGTATGATTTAAATACAATAATTAACTTGACATTATTTTGGAAATAAAGTATAATAGGCCCTTAATATCCACTAGGGTTTGGTTCCAGGACTTCCCATGGATACCACAATGTGTGGATGCTCAAGTTCCAGCATAGTGAAATAGTGTCTTTTATATGAAATGACAAAATCAAAATTTGCTTTTGGGATTTTTAAAACATTTTGAAGCTGTGGATGGTGGAATCCATGGATATAGAGCAGGCACCCTCAAGCTCTTTCCCTGCAGCTGTTTGGGCCTCCAGCTCCCAGAAGCCCTAGTGTTGGAATCACAGACACCTTAAAGGGCCAGACTCAAAAGTGGCTTCAAAACAGAGTTTATTAAAACAAAAGAAAAAGGACGCAGAGGTACTTAAATGCAGTGCCACTGGTCAAAACTCAAGAAACAAACCAGACCTGGTCCAAAAGGTAAACAGAAATATAATCCAGATTAATTGGATGCAAAAGGAACAAATCAAACAAAGTGCTCTGAGGCAAAACCAAAAGGCACAGTATACAAATGGTTAACAAAAAGGAGGGGTCGCAGGAAGAGAAGCATCATCAGCCAAAGTCCAGGGTTGAAGCAGGAGAAATCCGAAACAGGGCTACTCCAGTGTCCGCAGAAGCAGCGTCTTTAGCCAAACTGGTCCAGGAAGGGAGAAATCCACATTCACAAGAAGCCAATCCGGGTCAATAACACACAAACGATCAGCAGATCCAACACTGAACACGAAACAGGCAGCAACAAGTCTACAAGAATCTTTTCCAATACACAGCACCCAACACACGAACGCTCACCAACACCTTGCTTTCTGCAAGGACCCATCACCCCTGAACCCACTTTTATTTACAAATCATCATCAGAAGATGAACTGAGCACCGCCCCATCATTATCCCCCGCAGCTGTTCCCAGCTCTTCACATGAATTCCCTTGTCTTTCCCTCCAAGTCCTCCATCTCCTGTCAAGACTTAGGTCCCCCCAAGACTGTTGGATCCCCTGATTGCCATTCTTCACCCCCAGAGAACCCCATAAAAGTATCACTAGTTGTTGGCGCCTCACAAATAGCTTGCACTTCTCTTATCTTAGTCCAATCCATGGTGTCTCCTTCTTCTCCTTCACGCATTGACCCATCATCCCCCAAGAATCCCTCAAACGACTCCTCATCTGTAGGTGCTGTAAATATGTCCCGGATCCTATTTCCCTGCTGCTCATCATCAGAATCCTGCTCCCGAGTAACCCTTTTTCCCCATCTGGCACCCATACTACTGGACCCATCATCCCCAAAGAATTCCTCAAACAACTCCTCATCTGTAGGTGCTGTAAATAGTGTATATCCCGGATCCTCTTTCTCTGCTGCTCATCATCAGATTCCTGCTCCCGAGGAACCCTTTTTCCCCCCTCTGGCACCCATACTACTGTTTGTAATGTTACTCACAGGCTCTACTACAACACCTAGGCAGCTTGTTCAATGGTCAGGAATTCTGGGAGTTTGAGGCCCAAACAGCTGGAGGGAGGGAGTTTGAGAATGCCCAATATAGAGCACTTACTGTATAAAAAACATTAATTATAACTAAGAAAATAATGTCAGAATCCAGTAGTGTATTACTTTTGAACCTGTTCCTTCTCCCATTCCCTATAAAATACTGTTCTTGATTGCTAGTAAATATCATGGAGCAGGATTTGGGTTCCACAGAGAGCTGCAACATCAAAAGTCTGGATTCTGTAAGCAAGGATATACACCATTAGACTTTGGTCAAAAGGGGCAGTTCATAGTGTTGATAACAAAGGTTACTGATTCCGTTTTGTTGTTATTTTAATTGGTAATTTTCATCTATGGTGTTGAATTAATAACTAAACATTTCATGGCATAATAGCTTTGCATTCAAGTTAATTACGCTTAAAGTTTAAAGTAAGGGTATTCTATACTAAGTCCTGGGTTAGCAGATCTTACTAAACCGTTGCAAAAATCCATTTCTTCTCTGTTATCTTTTGTCGATAAATCATGATTAAAATGCTTTGTTTTATAAACTGAATTGTTTTCTCTTTCTCTCTTCTTATTTAGGTGCTTGGTACCCCAAATGAGGAGTCATGGCCAGGAGTTCATTCTCTGCCGCATTTCAAGCCAGGTAGAACTCAAGATAATACTATTCAATTTTATGTTTAATATAAATTTATATTTAATATAATTTAATAACAATTAAATGTTGTTTTAGAAAGATTCTGGAATTATGAAGCAAGAGGCCATTTCATTTTTCATACATTATAGTAGTCTAAGTAAGAGGAAAGGGTATAGCTGGCACATCAGTCAAAGCTGACTCCAATCAGTCCACAGAGTCCATTTGGGGTTCCAGTGATCTTGATCCAGGAGTACCAATTCCTTCAGGGTGATCTATCCAGGACAAACTGTTTAGCCAGTTTCCAGGCTTGAGAACCATCAATCCACAGAGTCTCTGTCTTCTCAGTATTCAGCTTCTGTTTGCTGAATCTCATCCAGCCCATTACAACATCCAGGTACTGGTTCAGCATCTGTGCAGCCCTGACTCCAGTGACTAGGAGAAGTAAAGTTGAGTATCATCCCATTTAGCTATATCTTCCTCTCCCTCCCTCCCCATATTTTATATCTACATTAGGATTATTATTAGAGAGGCAATCTTCTATGACGGAAGGGCTGTTTGATTGTGATAATGATATTCATATATCTTAAAGATAAATTACATTGTTCATATGGGGCATGCTGCATATTGCATACTGCATACTCTCATCTGCAGTGTCCTGCCCAGGTAAATGATGTCTAAATCCTACATGAGGTTGGGTTTATACCACATATTCTTACTTCTCTTTGGATTCTGTACAGTTTGGTTGTACTACTGTCTCTTCTGGGAAGTTGCTCTTCTGGGACACTGCAGATGAGAGTATGCAGTATGCAATATGCAGCATGCCCCATATGAACAATGTAATTTATCTTTAAGATATATGAATATCATTATCTCCATGCCTATTTATAAATTATTGCTGGTTATTGTTAGTTATTATTTTGTGAAATTTCAAGCTATTGGGTTGAAAAATACCTCTGCACTTGCAAGACCACACTGCTAAGGCACACATAACATGAATTTGTGTTGTGATGACAGCAGTAATGAAAGTCACAGTGATTTAGATAAGTAGTTGGCCTTAGACGAAATGAATACTCACACTTCGTCAAATCAGTAAGATATGTAGATACCTATTAAAAAGAAGAATTACGTTTCAATTGCTTGATTGGTTACATCTATATTTTGTATATCCTCCATCTAACTCAAGATGGCACTATTATTTAACATGTAAGAAACTTATTAGTATCAAAAAGTGATTTGGTTTTTATATAATATGGAACAAAAGTATTTGTTTTTTTGACAATAGATGATAGTCAAGAAACCGTTGTGCTGTAATTTCAATACATTATTTATTTATTATTTATTTGCTACATTTGTATACCGCCCCTCTCAGCCCACAGACAACTCAAGGCGGTTCACAAGGCAACAATTCAATGCCAACAACATCACAAAAACATTTAAACCATTTAAAAGCATTAACATATCAATTAAGACCATAACAATTAATAAAAATAAATAATTTCATCTCCTAGATAAAAACGTAATCCGGTCTCATAGTCCAGTTGTTCCATAATCCTATGTCTGTTACACTGCCTTTTCAAATGCCTGCTTGAACAGCCAGGTTTTGACTTTCTTTTGGAAAGTCAAAAGGGAGGGAGCCAATCTAATGTCCCTAGGAAGAGCGTTCCATAGGCGAGGGGCCACCATTGAGAAGGCCCTGTCTCTTGTCCTGCCAAACATATTTGCGGTGCAGACGGAGTGGAGAGCAGGATCTCCCCAGACGATCTTAATATCCTAGATGCTTCATAAAGGGAGATGCATTTGGACAGGTAAGTTGGGCCAGAACCGTTTAGGGCTTTATAGGCTAAAGCCAGCACTTTGAATTGTGTTATTATAAAGATTTAGTAAAATGCAGCAGTTCTATATAAATGTGACAGGTTGCTATTGCCAGCAATGCTGGCTCATGGAAGTAGTTCACAAAAAAGAATGTGCATGGAGTAAAGAAGATGCCAAAAGATATGCTTTTTATCAAAAGCATATTGCATCCTGGTATGTGTCTTGATGCAAAAGATTGTTCTAATTTCTCTTCCAACAATTGGAATAGCAAAATAGTTTGGAGAAAGCACTGATGAAGGGAGAGTTACCATTTCTTCAAAAGAGGCTTTGCTGTTTAAGCTTAACTACATTTACAGAAGAAAATAATGGATTTTGAGTAGAAAGTAAACTAATAAATAGCCATAGTGCAATTAATACTGCCAATGTAATTAAGTTTCTTCTCCCTGGTCTCTGTGAATCCACACATATTGAGTTTACTGTACCTGCACAGGCTCTAACAGAAGCTTCCCAAGCTGTGCTCTTTCAAATTTTGACAATAAGCCCACCCACTCCTCCTCAGGGCATAAAAGGCACCCTGGCTCCGCGCACCCCAGTTCCCTTTCTTCCACTGCCACAGCAGCTTTTTTTCGAATGTCGCTCAAATAATGTCGTTGACATTTAGAAGGGTTCAACCCAAAGCCACACCTGTGACATTACTGCCCTTCCTGTCCTATCTCTTGGAAGTTATTCAGGCATTTTGGACAAATCCACCCTCGATACCCCCTGCTTTGAAGAGAGTAAAGGCAAAAGTTTGCCCTTGTCATGTCCAACTCTGGGGGATGGTGCACATCTCCATGTCTAAGGTCAGCAAGTTCAGCAGCTCAGCGGTTTAACCTGCTGTGCCACCAGGGGTCCCCTCAAAGAGAATAGAAGGGTGGACTTGGACTGATGATGAAGGTCATGACTGTCTTAAACACCACCCAGACCCTAACTCTGTCTCCCTTCTATCCTCCTTCTTACCTCCATTGGGAAAATCCTTGCAAGAATCCTTGCAAACTGTTTTCTATCTGTCTCAGAAGACACCCTACCAGAATCCCAGAATGGTTTTCGCCTCTCCAGAGGAACAGTGGACATATCTTCACTGCACAACAGCGCCAAGAAAAATGCAGGGAACAAAATCAACCTCTGTAAATGGCATTTATTGACCTTGGAAAGGCATTCGACACAGTGAATGGCAGTGATCTCTAGACGATCCTCCAAAAAACCGGGTGCCTTGATAAATTTGTGAACATCCTGCGGTTCATCCATGATGACATGATGACAACAGTCTTGGACAACAATGGCTCCCAAAGTGATCCATTTAAGGTGGATTCAGGTGTCAAATAGGGATGTGTTATTGCCCCAACCTTATTTTCCATCTTCATCGCTATGATACTTCATTTTGTTGATAGGATGCTTCCCACTGGAGTGGAAATCGTTTATCGGAAAGATGGCAAGCTGGTTAACCTCAGTAGACTGAAAGTCAAAACCAAGGCCACAAAAACATCTGTTATAGAACTCTAGTATGCTGATGATAATGTAGTTTGTGCACATTCAGAAGAAGACCTACAAGCCACTCTAAACACCTTTGCAGAAGCATTTGGGAAGCTCAGCCTCTCACTGAACATCAAGAAAAGCAAAGTTCTCTTCCAGCAGTCACCAGCCAATCCCTCTGATCTAGATTGGGCAAGTGTTAAATGGCTTTAAAGAGATTTAAAATTAAAAAATAGTGTCATGCTAGGATCCAGGTCTGCAAAGCGATTAGTGGATTAATTAACAGATTTATTAACAAGCTTTTCTGAACAATAAATACCCCTAAAATTATATATTTTTGATTTAGCAATTAATCTGATGTTTAGGGAAAAAAACCCAACAAATTTGGAGATTCAAATCTCTTGGGGTCAGATCAATAGTAACTTTTCTCATATCTATTTTTCAATTATTGAACTCAGTGTGGGAGGCAGTTATCAAAAGCAAAGATCAGAAATAGGAGTCATCATTTTAGGATACATACAGGCATGGGCAAATTTCAGCCCTCCAGATGTTTTGGACTTCAAGTCCCAGAAATCTCAGCCAGTTTATCAGCTGTTGGGTCTTGTGGGAGTTGAAGTTCAAAACACCAAAAATTTTCCCATGCCTGGGATATACAGTGGTAAAGGACAGATGAACTTTTTATGAAGATCTTCAAAATTAGAGGTGGAAAATTGGATGACTATTTCTGCTTTTTTTTGAAGTGCAAGAAAGTTCAAATATTTGGATTAAAAATTACCACAAACAAATCAAATCTCAAATAACAAACAAAATTGATCTTTATTAGCTGCTTGAAGTGAATTTTGAAAATGTATATTTCAAAATTCAAGCAGCTAATAAAAATCAATTTCAGGGGGTAGGCAGCAGTATATTTATGAAATGTATATTTCAGGGGGTAGGCAGCAGTGGGAAGAATGTTTACATACATAGTTTACAGTGTAACATCTTTGTTTGTAAACTTGCATATTGCTCTGACTCAACTAATGATACTTAACCAGATGAAGAAACAGGGAGCATTACATTAAGTCAAAGCTTCAGAGACTAAGCCCCCTTCCTGTCCACCTTCCAATGAGAGTTCAAACCTGCCTCTAATCACAAAATCACAGCTACTACTACACATCTGGGAATATTGTCTTGATATAGGAATGAACCTTTGCATTGCTTGGCTTAAAACTCAGTATCGAAATGCGAATACCACCATTGTTCAACTTTTATCATAACTAGCATGTAGATAGTTTGACATGTCAACCAGCATATAGATGCCTTAATTTTTAAGAAAAATAAATCTCTTGCTTTATTTAACTGTACATTTCATGAAGTAATTAACTGTATAGAGAGATGAGTAAATAGGTCGATCTTCTCAGGAGATCTAGGGCAATAATTAGGCGACGAGAGACCATAATTGTGCTGCGAGTGATGTAGTTTGAAATTCAGAAGCAATAAAACTTGCTTTTTACTCAGAAAGGGTTATTTTTTCATTCTGAGGTTTGTAAACGAGGTGCTGACGGAATAGCTTTGAGAGACTCAGCACAGAACATGAGAGGATTTTTTTAATTCTGAAAAAAATATGTAAATCAGAGGTATGTTCGTCTCAATATTCCCAATCCATTTGGTCCAGAATCAGAGTGTGGCATAAGATTTGATCAGTA